GTGCTGCTGCTGGTGGTGGTGGTGGTGCCAGTGGCAGTGCTGCTGCTGCTGTCAGGGGATGGCCGGTTGGCGTCAGCTGATAGTGTGGTGCTGCTGGTGGTGGCGGTAGAGGCAGGGGTGTGGGGCTTGGTGTGAGAGGCAGGGCGGTGGTGGGCTGATGAGTGGGTGGCGGGAGGGAGTGGGATGCACCTGGAGTGGGGGTGGAGGGAAGAGTGGGAGGAGGGATGCGAGGGTGAAAGGGTGAGGGGTTTGAGGGTGTGATGGTGTTTCACACGGATGCACATGGTGGCTCTCCAAGGAAAGTGGACTGCACATGTAGTGCTGCTGGACATGTGGCATGCATGTGGCATGTGTGTGGTATGCATGTGGCATGTGTGTGGTATGCATGTGGCATGTGTGTGGTATGCATGTGGCATGTGTGTGGTATGCATGTGGCATGTATGTGGTATGCATGTGGCATGTGTGTGGTATGCATGTGGCATGTATGTGGTATGCATGTGGCATGTGTGTGGTATGCATGTGGCATGTATGTGGTATGCATGTGGCATGTGTGTGGTATGCATGTGGCATGTGTGTGGTATGCATGTGGCATGTGTGTGGTATGCATGTGGCATGTGTGTGGTATGCATGTGGCATGTATGTGGTATGCATGTGGCATGTGTGTGGTATGCATGTGGCATGTATGTGGTATGCATGTGGCATGTGTGTGGTATGCATGTGGCATGTGTGTGGTATGCATGTGGCATGTGTGTGGTATGCATGTGGCATGTGTGTGGTATGCATGTGGCATGTGTGTGGTATGCATGTGGCATGTGTGTGGTATGCATGTGGCATGTGTGTGGCATGCATGTGGCATGTGTGTGGTATGCATGTGGCATGTATGTGGTATGCATGTGGCATGTGTGTGGTATGCATGTGGCATGTATGTGGTATGCATGTGGCATGTGTGTGGTATGCATGTGGCATGTGTGTGGTATGCATGTGGCATGTGTGTGGTATGCATGTGGCATGTGTGTGGTATGCATGTGGCATGTGTGTGGTATGCATGTGGCATGTGTGTGGTATGCATGTGGCATGTGTGTGGTATGCATGTGGCATGTATGTGGTATGCATGTGGCATGTATGTGGTATGCATGTGGCATGTGTGTGGTATGCATGTGGCATGTGTGTGGTATGCATGTGGCATGTGTGTGGTATGCATGTGGCATGTGTGTGGTATGCATGTGGCATGTGTGTGGTATGCATGTGGCATGTGTGTGGTATGCATGTGGCATGTATGTGGTATGCATGTGGCATGTGTGTGGTATGCATGTGGCATGTATGTGGTATGCATGTGGCATGTGTGTGGTATGCATGTGGCATGTATGTGGTATGCATGTGGCATGTGTGTGGTATGCATGTGGCATGTGTGTGGTATGCATGTGGCATGTGTGTGGTATGCATGTGGCATGTGTGTGGTATGCATGTGGCATGTGTGTGGTATGCATGTGGCATGTATGTGGTATGCATGTGGCATGTGTGTGGTATGCATGTGGCATGTATGTGGTATGCATGTGGCATGTGTGTGGTATGCATGTGGCATGTGTGTGGTATGCATGTGGCATGTGTGTGGTATGCATGTGGCATGTGTGTGGTATGCATGTGGCATGTGTGTGGTATGCATGTGGCATGTGTGTGGTATGCATGTGGCATGTGTGTGGCATGCATGTGGCATGTGTGTGGTATGCATGTGGCATGTATGTGGTATGCATGTGGCATGTGTGTGGTATGCATGTGGCATGTATGTGGTATGCATGTGGCATGTGTGTGGTATGCATGTGGCATGTGTGTGGTATGCATGTGGCATGTATGTGGTATGCATGTGGCATGTGTGTGGTATGCATGTGGCATGTGTGTGGTATGCATGTGGCATGTGTGTGGTATGCATGTGGCATGTGTGTGGTATGCATGTGGCATGTGTGTGGCATGCATGTGGCATGTGTGTGGTATGCATGTGGCATGTATGTGGTATGCATGTGGCATGTGTGTGGTATGCATGTGGCATGTATGTGGTATGCATGTGGCATGTGTGTGGTATGCATGTGGCATGTGTGTGGTATGCATGTGGCATGTATGTGGTATGCATGTGGCATGTGTGTGGTATGCATGTGGCATGTGTGTGGTATGCATGTGGCATGTGTGTGGTATGCATGTGGCATGTATGTGGTATGCATGTGGCATGTGTGTGGTATGCATGTGGCATGTGTGTGGTATGCATGTGGCATGTGTGTGGTATGCATGTGGCATGTGTGTGGTATGCATGTGGCATGTATGTGGTATGCATGTGGCATGTGTGTGGTATGCATGTGGCATGTGTGTGGTATGCATGTGGCATGTGTGTGGTATGCATGTGGCATGTGTGTGGTATGCATGTGGCATGTGTGTGGTATGCATGTGGCATGTGTGTGGTATGCATGTGGCATGTGTATGGTATGCATGTGGCATGTGTGTGGTATGCATGTGGCATGTGTGTGGTATGCATGTGGCATGTGTGTGGTATGCATGTGGCATGTGTGTGGTATGCATGTGGCATGTGTGTGGTATGCATGTGGCATGTGTGTGGTATGCATGTGGCATGTGTGTGGTATGCATGTGTGGCATGTGTGTGGTATGCATGTGGCATGTATGTGGTATGCATGTGGCATGTGTGTGGTATGCATGTGGCATGTGTGTGGTATGCATGTGGCATGTGTGTGGTATGCATGTGGCATGTATGTGGTATGCATGTGGCATGTGTGTGGTATGCATGTGGCATGTGTGTGGTATGCATGTGGCATGTGTGTGGTATGCATGTGGCATGTGTGTGGTATGCATGTGGCATGTGTGTGGTATGCATGTGGCATGTGTGTGGTATGCATGTGGCATGTGTGTGGTATGCATGTGGCATGTGTGTGGTATGCATGTGGCATGTGTGTGGTATGCATGTGGCATGTGTGTGGTATGCATGTGGCATGTGTGTGGTATGCATGTGGCATGTGTGTGGTATGCATGTGGCATGTGTGTGGTATGCATGTGGCATGTGTGTGGTATGCATGTGGCATGTGTGTGGTATGCATGTGGCATGTGTGTGGCATGCATGTGGCATGTGTGTGGTATGCATGTGGCATGTATGTGGTATGCATGTGGCATGTGTGTGGTATGCATGTGGCATGTATGTGGTATGCATGTGGCATGTGTGTGGTATGCATGTGGCATGTGTGTGGTATGCATGTGGCATGTGTGTGGTATGCATGTGGCATGTGTGTGGTATGCATGTGGCATGTGTGTGGTATGCATGTGGCATGTGTGTGGTATGCATGTGGCATGTGTGTGGTATGCATGTGGCATGTGTGTGGTATGCATGTGGCATGTGTGTGGTATGCATGTGGCATGTGTGTGGTATGCATGTGGCATGTAGTGTGGTATGCATGTGGCATGTGTGTGGTATGCATGTGGCATGTGTGTGGTATGCATGTGGCATGTGTGTGGTATGCATGTGGCATGTGTGTGGTATGCATGTGGCATGTGTGTGGTATGCATGTGGCATGTAGTGTGGTATGCATGTGGCATGTGTGTGGTATGCATGTGGCATGTGTGTGGTATGCATGTGGCATGTGTGTGGTATGCATGTGGCATGTGTGTGGTATGCATGTGGCATGTGTGTGGTATGCATGTGGCATGTGTGTGGTATGCATGTGGCATGTGTGTGGTATGCATGTGGCATGTGTGTGGTATGCATGTGGCATGTGTGTGGTATGCATGTGGCATGTGTGTGGTATGCATGTGGCATGTGTGTGGTATGCATGTGGCATGTGTGTGGTATGCATGTGGCATGTGTGTGGTATGCATGTGTGGCATGTGCGTGGTATGCATGTGGCATGTATGTGGTATGCATGTGGCATGTGTGTGGTATGCATGTGGCATGTGTGTGGTATGCATGTGGCATGTGTGTGGTATGCATGTGGCATGTATGTGGTATGCATGTGGCATGTGTGTGGTATGCATGTGGCATGTGTGTGGTATGCATGTGGCATGTGTGTGGTATGCATGTGGCATGTGTGTGGTATGCATGTGGCATGTGTGTGGTATGCATGTGGCATGTGTGTGGTATGCATGTGGCATGTGTGTGGTATGCATGTGGCATGTGTGTGGTATGCATGTGGCATGTGTGTGGTATGCATGTGGCATGTGTATGGTATGCATGTGGCATGTGTGTGGTATGCATGTGGCATGTGTGTGGTATGCATGTGGCATGTGTGTGGTATGCATGTGGCATGTGTGTGGTATGCATGTGGCATGTGTGTGGTATGCATGTGGCATGTGTGTGGTATGCATGTGGCATGTGTGTGGTATGCATGTGTGGCATGTGTGTGGTATGCATGTGGCATGTATGTGGTATGCATGTGGCATGTGTGTGGTATGCATGTGGCATGTGTGTGGTATGCATGTGGCATGTGTGTGGTATGCATGTGGCATGTATGTGGTATGCATGTGGCATGTGTGTGGTATGCATGTGGCATGTGTATGGTATGCATGTGGCATGTGTGTGGTATGCATGTGGCATGTGTGTGGTATGCATGTGGCATGTGTGTGGTATGCATGTGGCATGTGTGTGGTATGCATGTGGCATGTGTGTGGTATGCATGTGGCATGTGTGTGGTATGCATGTGGCATGTGTGTGGTATGCATGTGGCATGTGTGTGGTATGCATGTGGCATGTGTGTGGTATGCATGTGGCATGTGTGTGGTATGCATGTGGCATGTGTGTGGTATGCATGTGGCATGTATGTGGTATGCATGTGGCATGTGTGTGGTATGCATGTGGCATGTGTGTGGTATGCATGTGGCATGTGTGTGGTATGCATGTGGCATGTGTGTGGTATGCATGTGACGTGGCATGCATGTGGCACACATTCAACACAGGGTGACAGCGAGGGAGATAGAGGGAGAGGAGGGGGGAAGAAAATAGCGGGAGGACTGACAGCAGGGAGTGGAGGAGGTTGAAGAGCGGTGCAGAGGGGTCCAGATGCGAGTCGGTCACGACCTCCCATGCACTGTGGGCCACCTGGCAGGTCGAATAGGGCAGGCAGGATGAGGAGGGCGTAGGGAAGGTGGAGGGGTAAGGGGTGTGGGCGAGGGGGTAAGGAACGACTGAAAAATAATCATGTGCTTCGAGGAGACAGAAAGGTGGGGAAATTGGTAGCTGTATACCAAGTTACGAAAGGTGGGGATGCTGGAAGGGAGGTGGGGAAGGGGTGGGGTAGTGGTGCGCAGAAGGGCGTAAGGGAAACGGGAAGCAGGAAGGGAAAGAAGAGGAAGGCTTGGAAGCACAAGTAGCAACGGTGGCAGCAGTGGGAGCAGCAGCAGCAGCAGGCAGGTAGAGCAGGTGACAGCAGGGACGGCATAAGAGAGGAGGGTGACATGCGCGACTCAAATGTACGGACCATGGCAGAGGCGATAGCCCCATAGGCCGCATGTCTGGAGCACACTGCTGTCCAGTGCACCGCTACTGTGTAGAAGAGCGAGACCAGGAAGGCCGAGCGCGAGTACCTGGGGGGGGGTTGGAGAGGGGGTGAGGAGAGGAGGGAGAGCAGCAGGTGAGAGTGGCATGTACAGCAGAGGCGATGGCCCGTGGCCCCATAGGCTGCATGTGTGGAGCACCATGCAGTCCAATGCAGTGTGAAGGTGTAGAAGAGGGTCACCAGGAAGGCCGAGCGCGAGTACCTGGGGGTGATGGAAAGGAGAGGGGGTGAGGAAAAGCAGCACGTGAGAGCGCGTTGCTGTCCAGTGCACTGTGAGCGAGGCCATGAAGGCGGAGCGAGTGAACCTGTGGTGAGAAAGTCACATAGTTGCCCATGTGTGCAGTGAGCAGGAAGGAAAGTCACATAGTTGCCCATGTGTGCAGTGAGCAGGAAGGAAAGTCACATAGTTGCCCATGTTTGCAGTGAGCAGGAAGGAAAGTCACATAGTTGCCCATGTTTGCAGTGAGCAGGAAGGAAAGTCACATAGTTGCCCATGTGTGCAGTGAGCAGGAAGGAAAGTCACATAGTTGCCCATGTTTGCAGTGAGCAGGAAGGAAAGTCACATAGTTGCCCATGTTTGCAGTGAGCAGGAAGGAAAGTCACATAGTTGCCCATGTTTGCAGTGAGCAGGAAGGAAAGTCACATAGTTGCCCATGTTTGCAGTGAGCAGGAAGGAAAGTCACATAGTTGCCCATGTTTGCAGTGAGCTGGAAGGAAAGTCACATAGTTGCCCATGTTTGCAGTGAGCAGGAAGGAAAGTCACATAGTTGCCCATGTTTGCAGTGAGCAGGAAGGAAAGTCACATAGTTGCCCATGTTTGCAGTGAGCAGGAAGGAAAGTCACATAGTTGCCCATGTTTGCAGTGAGCAGGAAGGAAAGTCACATAGTTGCCCATGTTTGCAGTGAGCAGGAAGGAAAGTCACATAGTTGCCCATGTTTGCAGTGAGCAGGAAGGAAAGTCACATAGTTGCCCATGTTTGCAGTGAGCAGGAAGGAAAGTCACATAGTTGCCCATGTTTGCAGTGAGCAGGAAGGAAAGTCACATAGTTGCCCATGTTTGCAGTGAGCAGGAAGGAAAGTCACATAGTTGCCCATGTTTGCAGTGAGCTGGAAGGAAAGTCACATAGTTGCCCATGTTTGCAGTGAGCAGGAAGGAAAGTCACATAGTTGCCCATGTTTGCAGTGAGCAGGAAGGAAAGTCACATAGTTGCCCATGTGTGCAGTGAGCAGGAAGGAAAGTCACATAGTTGCCCATGTTTGCAGTGAGCAGGAAGGAAAGTCACATAGTTGCCCATGTTTGCAGTGAGCAGGAAGGAAAGTCACATAGTTGCCCATGTGTGCAGTGAGCAGGAAGGAAAGTCACATAGTTGCCCATGTTTGCAGTGAGCAGGAAGGAAAGTCACATAGCTGCCCATGTTTGCAGTGAGCAGGAAGGAAAGTCACATAGTTGCCCATGTTTGCAGTGAGCAGGAAGGAAAGTCACATAGTTGCCCATGTGTGCAGTGAGCAGGAAGGAAAGTCACATAGTTGCCCATGTTTGCAGTGAGCAGGAAGGAAAGTCACATAGTTGCCCATGTGTGCAGTGAGCAGGAAGGAAAGTCACATAGTTGCCCATGTTTGCAGTGAGCAGGAAGGAAAGTCACATAGTTGCCCATGTTTGCAGTGAGCAGGAAGGAAAGTCACATAGTTGCCCATGTTTGCAGTGAGCAGGAAGGAAAGTCACATAGTTGCCCATGTTTGCAGTGAGCAGGAAGGAAAGTCACATAGTTGCCCATGTGTGCAGTGAGCAGGAAGGAAAGTCACATAGTTGCCCATGTTTGCAGTGAGCAGGAAGGAAAGTCACATAGTTGCCCATGTGTGCAGTGAGCAGGAAGGAAAGTCACATAGTTGCCCATGTTTGCAGTGAGCAGGAAGGAAAGTCACATAGTTGCCCATGTGTGCAGTGAGCAGGAAGGAAAGTCACATAGTTGCCCATGTTTGCAGTGAGCAGGAAGGAAAGTCACATAGTTGCCCATGTGTGCAGTGAGCAGGAAGGAAAGTCACATAGTTGCCCATGTTTGCAGTGAGCAGGAAGGAAAGTCACATAGTTGCCCATGTTTGCAGTGAGCAGGAAGGAAAGTCACATAGTTGCCCATGTTTGCAGTGAGCAGGAAGGAAAGTCACATAGTTGCCCATGTTTGCAGTGAGCAGGAAGGAAAGTCACATAGTTGCCCATGTTTGCAGTGAGCAGGAAGGAAAGTCACATAGTTGCCCATGTTTGCAGTGAGCAGGAAGGAAAGTCACATAGTTGCCCATGTTTGCAGTGAGCAGGAAGGAAAGTCACATAGTTGCCCATGTTTGCAGTGAGCAGGAAGGAAAGTCACATAGTTGCCCATGTTTGCAGTGAGCAGGAAGGAAAGTCACATAGTTGCCCATGTTTGCAGTGAGCAGGAAGGAAAGTCACATAGTTGCCCATGTTTGCAGTGAGCAGGAAGGAAAGTCACATAGTTGCCCATGTTTGCAGTGAGCAGGAAGGAAAGTCACATAGTTGCCCATGTTTGCAGTGAGCAGGAAGGAAAGTCACATAGTTGCCCATGTTTGCAGTGAGCAGGAAGGAAAGTCACATAGTTGCCCATGCGTGCAGTGAGCAGGAAGGAAAGTCACATAGTTGCCCATGTTTGCAGTGAGCAGGAAGGAAAGTCACATAGTTGCCCATGTTTGCAGTGAGCAGGAAGGAAAGTCACATAGTTGCCCATGTTTGCAGTGAGCAGGAAGGAAAGTCACATAGTTGCCCATGTTTGCAGTGAGCAGGAAGGAAAGTCACATAGTTGCCCATGTTTGCAGTGAGCAGGAAGGAGCATAACATAGTTGCCCATGTTTGCAGTGAGCAGGAAGGAAAGTCACATAGTTGCCCATGTTTGCAGTGAGCAGGAAGGAAAGTCACATAGTTGCCCATGTTTGCAGTGAGCTGGAAGGAAAGTCACATAGTTGCCCATGTTTGCAGTGAGCAGGAAGGAAAGTCACATAGTTGCCCATGTTTGCAGTGAGCAGGAAGGAAAGTCACATAGTTGCCCATGTTTGCAGTGAGCAGGAAGGAAAGTCACATAGTTGCCCATGTTTGCAGTGAGCAGGAAGGAAAGTCACATAGTTGCCCATGTTTGCAGTGAGCAGGAAGGAAAGTCACATAGTTGCCCATGTGTGCAGTGAGCAGGAAGGAAAGTCACATAGTTGCCCATGTTTGCAGTGAGCAGGAAGGAAAGTCACATAGTTGCCCATGTTTGCAGTGAGCAGGAAGGAAAGTCACATAGTTGCCCATGTTTGCAGTGAGCAGGAAGGAAAGTCACATAGTTGCCCATGTTTGCAGTGAGCAGGAAGGAAAGTCACATAGTTGCCCATGTGTGCAGTGAGCAGGAAGGAAAGTCACATAGTTGCCCATGTTTGCAGTGAGCAGGAAGGAAAGTCACATAGTTGCCCATGTTTGCAGTGAGCAGGAAGGAAAGTCACATAGTTGCCCATGTTTGCAGTGAGCAGGAAGGAAAGTCACATAGTTGCCCATGTTTGCAGTGAGCAGGAAGGAAAGTCACATAGTTGCCCATGTTTGCAGTGAGCAGGAAGGAAAGTCACATAGTTGCCCATGTTTGCAGTGAGCAGGAAGGAGCATAACATAGTTGCCCATGTTTGCAGTGAGCAGGAAGGAAAGTCACATAGTTGCCCATGTGTGCAGTGAGCAGGAAGGAAAGTCACATAGTTGCCCATGTTTGCAGTGAGCAGGAAGGAAAGTCACATAGTTGCCCATGTTTGCAGTGAGCAGGAAGGAAAGTCACATAGTTGCCCATGTTTGCAGTGAGCAGGAAGGAAAGTCACATAGTTGCCCATGTTTGCAGTGAGCAGGAAGGAAAGTCACATAGTTGCCCATGTTTGCAGTGAGCAGGAAGGAGCATAACATAGTTGCCCATGTTTGCAGTGAGCAGGAAGGAAAGTCACATAGTTGCCCATGTGTGCAGTGAGCAGGAAGGAAAGTCACATAGTTGCCCATGTTTGCAGTGAGCAGGAAGGAAAGTCACATAGTTGCCCATGTTTGCAGTGAGCAGGAAGGAAAGTCACATAGTTGCCCATGTTTGCAGTGAGCAGGAAGGAAAGTCACATAGTTGCCCATGTTTGCAGTGAGCAGGAAGGAAAGTCACATAGTTGCCCATGTTTGCAGTGAGCAGGAAGGAGCATAACATAGTTGCCCATGTGTGCAGTGAGCAGGAAGGAAAGTCACATAGTTGCCCATGTTTGCAGTGAGCAGGAAGGAAAGTCACATAGTTGCCCATGTTTGCAGTGAGCAGGAAGGAAAGTCACATAGTTGCCCATGTGTGCAGTGAGCAGGAAGGAAAGTCACATAGTTGCCCATGTTTGCAGTGAGCAGGAAGGAAAGTCACATAGTTGCCCATGTTTGCAGTGAGCAGGAAGGAAAGTCACATAGTTGCCCATGTTTGCAGTGAGCAGGAAGGAAAGTCACATAGTTGCCCATGTTTGCAGTGAGCAGGAAGGAAAGTCACATAGTTGCCCATGTTTGCAGTGAGCAGGAAGGAAAGTCACATAGTTGCCCATGTTTGCAGTGAGCAGGAAGGAAAGTCACATAGTTGCCCATGTTTGCAGTGAGCAGGAAGGAAAGTCACATAGTTGCCCATGTTTGCAGTGAGCTGGAAGGAAAGTCACATAGTTGCCCATGTTTGCAGTGAGCAGGAAGGAAAGTCACATAGTTGCCCATGTTTGCAGTGAGCAGGAAGGAAAGTCACATAGTTGCCCATGTTTGCAGTGAGCAGGAAGGAAAGTCACATAGTTGCCCATGTTTGCAGTGAGCAGGAAGGAAAGTCACATAGTTGCCCATGTTTGCAGTGAGCAGGAAGGAAAGTCACATAGTTGCCCATGTTTGCAGTGAGCAGGAAGGAAAGTCACATAGTTGCCCATGTTTGCAGTGAGCAGGAAGGAAAGTCACATAGTTGCCCATGTGTGCAGTGAGCAGGAAGGAAAGTCACATAGTTGCCCATGTTTGCAGTGAGC